AAAAAAAAAAAAAAAAAAAAAAAAAAAAAAAAAGTTGACATAAAGTTTTTGTAACCCTCAAGTTTGGTTTATTTGATAATTATTGGATTACCCAAAGTCACTTTCACACTACTGACTTGTATTCCAGATACAGTGTAGCTCCAAATTTTTTAAGGGTATTTGTCTTCTAACTTACTTTCAGGTACTCCACTCGAAAAGACTGTAATCAGGTTTTAACAGTCATATCAATTGCATGGAGAGTAACCGAGGAAATAAATTAAGAATCTCATTGTTGTTATTTGTATCTGTATAAATGTTCTTTACTGATTTTACATAAACTTTGAGAATAGATAAGGTTGAACAAAATAAAGTGGTTTCAATAAATTATTTTTTATTGTTTTGCAAACAACTCCCTAAGGCAGCAATTAACAGCACAAAAGTCAGCTATGTGCAGAAGGAACTGACCGTGAAATTTTTAAATGGAAATTGACTAATATCAATCTTGTCAAAGATATAAGATTACCATAGTTATTGTAGCCGTTGACATTCCATTTTAAAATAGCCAAAATAAAGCTGCGAATTAGGGGAATGATTTACTGTCAAAACAGCTCAGTATTTACAAGTGTGGATCTATGAGGACGACTGTATGCGTAGTACTTTTTGAAGGTCAACTTGTGCAGAACTCAGCAGATGCTGGAGCACAGTTTAGCTTTGTTACTTTCTGTGCTATTAGACAAGATAAAAAGGTTAAAGAATAGAGTGCGAAAATAAATCACCAACACTAACCTTTAAACACTGTTTTGTCCATTCTCAGTATAGGCGAAACAAATTTACACAACCAACCACTGGAACTGAAATTATGCGTATTTCCATTGCATGTTATCGTTATTGAGCCTTAGCGGTTTTTTCCCTTTAGAAGGCGAACACTTCCGAGACAATACCATACTGGTAACCATTTCACGTTTATGGAGCTTTAAGGAAGTAGTTTGACCTGCAGTCTCTAAATTTTAACAACCAAACCTTCCAGATAAACCGTTTATGAATGCAATAACGGAATATCACATGTACGACACCGTAAATGACTCCATGAGCTGTACTCGTGAAAAAATTTAGCCGCTGTGAAAAGATGTTATTGTTAAGAACTTTTTTTTTCTGGAATTATTGTAACAGTTGCAGCTGACGACGTTATTTCCGGCGACTTGACCCGGCAGTGCTACTGGCAGACGAACGTTCAGCAGTGTATAATGTAAATATGACTGGAGCCAAATTTACCCATATGTTACCGTTTTAGGATTCACTAGCGCTAATAGTTTTCACCACACCGTTGAAGAATAGGTCCTGAAGCCGAAATACCGTGATTAGTGTTCTGTAGTGATTTGAAGTTGCCAGTGAACTGAAATGTTATATGGATGAAACGTTTTTTGAAATCTCTTTCTTATTAGACGGAAATCATTGTTAAAAACAGCTTATGGCTTCTTTTCGTATAATTAGGATCCTTTGATGCTTTCTCTGTTGCAGGAAATAGCGTGTTTTCTTGATGCTTCGGTTAAATACAGTGTTACGGTGTATTCCAGCGAGCAGCTTTTTACTGTCTGCAGCATCTGTTGCCACTGAACCGATGAAAATTGACAAAGCTGTATGTTTTCTAGACAATTTTGTTTTTTCTCTTAGCAGTTGCTTTTAACCAGTCTTTGATTTTGACGAGTGCAGACAGTTTACTTCCTTATAAGGTATTCATACGTTTAAGGCTCTCAAACAGCTAAGGAGTCGTACTGGCTTCAGCTACGTGAATTGTCGAAAAGCGTTGTTGCAGTTTGGCAGTGATCGGCTGGATGAAGCGGAGAAATGGATGAGAGAAATGGCAGTAAAAGAAGGGTGGGATAAAGCTACAAAGTTAGCTTTTTACCTCCTGAATCTTCCAATATCTTTATAGCTTTTTTGAGGAAAAAAAAAGCATATGCATGTTTTTCGTTCAGCAATTTCAAAGAATGTAACTGTTGAATAACTTTACGTTTTTAGTTGCCGTGTCCAAAAAAATCAATTCCTGGCTCCCACAGCCGTTTATAATTTAACAATCTATGTTTCTTAGGCATCAAATAACGTCGTATTGTTAAGGTTAAAATCGAGGCAAACCAAACAAGGGTTAGTGTCTGCTATATCAGATGGTAATAGAGCAGCATTGGTAGAAGTTTACTGTGAGACAGATTTCGTTGCTCGTGGCGATCCTTTCAAAAGTTTGGTTAGCATTTTCCACTTCTAGATTATCTCTTCCTAAACAAAACCTTCTGCTGTTCGACTCTGTCAGGGAAGCTTTGGTGTGGCAGGTCATCCACCTTGTAGGTCCATCCTTGCTTACACTTTATTGTCACATATCCTATGCCATTTTTCCTAACTTGAGCAACCGCAGAAGGCAACCTGACTTACAAAACATTTCTTTTCTTTCTGGCCAATCACTGTTTCTTTCCCTGCTAAGGGGAAGTGGCAGCTTTAAAACTTTTTTTTTTAAGGTGGAGAAGGTGGCACACGCTGCCATTAAATCTGCAGAAACGTTTGACCCATTGCCGGAAGAAAAAATATCCCTTATTTATAAAGGTTTCGTATTATCTTTGTCAAATTCCTAACACTGTGGTTATCTTAATCTCATTCTTGTGGTTATTGAAGCAATTACCAATTGCCGAGGAAACTTATGTAACTATAGTTTTTCTTTAAACCGCTCAACTGCTTTACAGCAGCGTCTGATCTATTTTTACAGATTTTGACTCGTTGAACCTTGTGGATGGTACTCCAGCTAAAGATGCACTGCGGGGAACAATTAACGAAGTTGGAGAAAATATTGTTGTACCTCCAGTTACCTTGGTCTTGTCGCAACCAGACGTTTCTCTTTGGAGTTATGCCCATCCACCGGGTTAGTTCAAAGCATGAAACCTTATATGGACTACATTTTTACTCGGTCTGATTTTGTGATTACTTGTTTTATTGGAGGAATTATTGGAATGTGAAACCATAGGGCACTATTCTACATGATTGGTTTAATAGTTTAGGGGTCATTGGAAATGTTTACATGGGGACGTTTGCATCTGTAGTGGGTTTGGAAAAGGAACGCGATGACAGTGTTCCTATTGATAAACTAGGCAGACAGCTATGTCAGCAGATAATTGGCATGAGGTTTGCTTCGTCTACCTAAAACAGTTGTATAAATTTACTTGAAATATGCAAGGAGAGGACTATTTCTTTCCGTATGAGATTTCATGAACCTCAGCTGTAATACTTAACTTCCTTGTAGAGCTGAAAAGGTAGGTCTGCCCCCAGAGCCAAATGGCGACAAATCCGACAGTGAAGATAACGAAACAAAAGCTAAATTATCTGAAGACGAGGAAGAGGAAGTCAATGTAACAGTTTTCTTTATTAGATTTTCTCTGCCAAATAAACGAGTGACTCGCATAAAAACTGCTGAAGGTTCCTCAGAATGTATGACAGTATGCTCATTCGGACTTATTTATTTAGGTTACTCATATCGATGAAAAAGAAACTTCCTTGCTCCGACAGTCGTTTATGTTGGACCCTTCACAGACTGTTTTTGATTATATTACTGGACATGGTGTTAAAGTTGTTGACTTCTACAGAGTTGAAGTGGGTGAGAAAGCCAATTCAAAAGCGGCATAAATGGCTTATCGCCTCTGTTTATGCGTCACTGATTTAATATTGCCCTGGGCTTCATAATGCTTTTCTTCTAGACTTCATTAAATACGGTACTTCCCATGAATTACGTTTTTTTGTGAATTCTGTGCTTCCCACAGCCATTAGTGATTAGAGTTCGCTAAAGGAGAAGTTGAAATGCATATTTTCCTTCCCATAAAGAAATTTTTATTGTAGATTTAGAATACGTTTAGCAGATGTATGGTAGTATTTCGTCACTGTTGCTGTCCTGATATGTAAAAAATTAATGGATGAGAGGAAATATCAACCATTCATTATTTCTTTACGCTTTTTTTTTTTGTTGACGTTAGCCGAGAAAGATTCATATTGTTGCTAGAGGATTTTTCAACAATGATTTTTGGTTTTAGGTTTTTAACGAAGGTCTTGTTGTTTTCTGCCATTTGTAACCGTGAGTCAGGCTTTTGTGGTGATAATAAATAATGTTTTTATACATCAGAAAATTCCTTCCTAAAAACTGGTACTATTCACTATAAAATTTACACAATATTTCTGATATAATTCAGTCTACATGTCAGCATAGTGTTCGATTATAATACTAAATAAAAATTAATTCAGCTATAAAAGCGATATTAACAGGTTCTAAGATTCAGATTTGTATCGTCTCTTAAACAAATATTTTAATCAACATTAAACTGCAAATGGGATGGAAGATTAGAGGAGCTGCTTTAACCAGTAATCTGATGAGACCAATTTCCATGATGAAGACTCGGTGAAATTAGCTCAAAGAAGAAATGGATCACAATAGCCGAACAATGCCACAGTTGCCGGTAAACGGCCATCTTTCCAGTTGGCCGATGACAATTTCCTGTGGCTATAGCGACATATTTTTCCTCGGTGTCATTACTGCGGTGGTCCTAAGACGAAATTGCGTCCTGCCAACATGCTATTTGGCACTTACTCAATTGCTGTATACGGCTTAGAAGTGGACTTACAGATGGCTTGATTCTCGACAGCGTAGGATCCATTTATTGTGCCGCTTAGTCTCTGTCATAGTTTCGCTGTCTTTAATGACTAAATTTTGAACGGAGAGGTTACGGGTGAAGGAATTGTTTTGGAAGAAGAGTAGGGTTGCTTTTTTTCTGCTACTTCACGTGCATTAAAACAAAAATATATTTTTTTGTTTTATATTTGAGAATGGAATTACCATGTCTTGGACAAAAGGTTTAATTTTGAAATACTTCTTTGCTACATTTTCTTTCTTGTCATTATATTGTGCTGATATATATTAGAGCTACGAATTGTTTTACTTTATTTCCTATACTCTATTTGATTCGTAGCTGGTTGGTGAGCGTGCCTGCATTAGTTAGTGTTTACACCAAGCAGGAAAATCCTGAGGTAAGGAGGAGGAGGCTTAGGAAGATATCTGTGAACAGAAATGAAGAAAGTGAATTAAAATATAGAAACGAAAAGTTCATATTTTCTGACAGCACTGTTACCAAAAATTTAATTTAGTGTTTGCAAGAACTTAATCAAAAGGCTGGAGAGAATGATCCGACATTTTGTTCAAATTCTTCTGTGTGTCTCTTTTTTGTCCAATAGTTTTTAATTTTTTTGAGGCAAGGAAAAGACTTTTTGCTGATCTGAAGTTTTGTACGGCGCAGCAGGTGACTGAAGAGGGTGCGCATTTACGAACTGCAAAAGTTTATCTATGGAATTCCTTATATTTTTTGCTTTTAAGGGTGAAGTATTTCTTATAAAAAAAAGTAAAAATTTTCAATAAGTCTACACAATACTTGCTATTTATTTATTTATTTATTTATTTTTTCGATAACATTTGCATTAGCGTTTTTCAATCTCCACTTTTGTGGTCATTTTCTGAGCGTACAGTATGTTTTTGGTTTTGATTTCATTTTTTTTTGAAACTTATTTAGGTGCCTTCTGATAAAGTTGTGTCACATATGACACTGTGAGAGTAAATCTGCAGTTTGCGACTTAAATCTCCTTTGAAATGATTTCGGAAAACGGGTATTCTTCTGAAGAAGACGAAGGCGTTTCATCTGTTTTGAAAAGATGCCTTTTGGAGGGACGTATCGATGTTTTACGCTCAATTCTGGCAAAACTCTGTAGGCGCTCATTTTTTCTCTGGCTTTATTTTACAAGTTTCTGACTGCAACTCAGTAACGCTCGTTTATGAGTCATAATGAATCTTTTATTTTTTTTAATTACTGGGGAAAGTATTTTTTCAAAATGCTATTCTTTTATTTTTTAAAGTGAGTGCCGCCTTTTTTATATTTGTGGCTTTAAATTTGTACAGTTTTAGCGTCAAAACCAGATTTTCGGGAACAAACTGACGTGCTTTGTTGTGAGGAAGGAACATTACTGCACCTGGCTGTGTCTTTGGGTCAATTTTTACGTTTTTGGAGCATGTTTTATTTATTCATTCAGGGTTATATGAATGGGAAATTTTTTTTAAAATGAAATAAACCATAGAATACATTAATTTTTCTTTGATTTCGAATTGTAATTATTATTGTCGTATTTTATAAAAATCATATTTGCGAAGGTTTTTTACTGTATGCTTCGTATGATACTGTGGAAAAATTTTTCAGAATCTCTGGATGGCGTTCGAACACTGTTGTCATCAGGAGTCAGTCCGTGTATACAAGATGAGCAGAATAGAACAGCTTTTCAAATTGCCTCTTCTGAGCAAATAAAAGCAGCTTTTGTTCAAGAATTTTTGCAGGCTACCGCACAATCGAAGTTTGTTTTCAAATTTCATCAAACGTCAAATGATAATTCGGAAACCTTTTGGTTATTTCTACTTTGAAGCATATTCAAAACTCTAGAAGTTCTATTATTCTCATTCGTTTGTTCTCAGTAAATTTTTTTAAATTGTGGTTTACCTTTATTTTTTGCAATCTTTCTTTTTTTCCTTGTATATTTAGTCTTTCCTTTCATCTTTTTCCTGAAATTGCCAATTTTTTCTTATAAACTACAGTTTTTTGTACATGCTTTTGTTATTTTTCAGCTTGGGGAGAGTTTGTCAAATGATATCATGCGGAGTTCCTGTTGATTCAATTGACGCAGCAGAAACGAGAAACACCGCCTTACATTGGGCCGCTTCTTTTGGCACGGAGGAGGTTGTTAGGTAACTTTTATTCAATATTTCAGTCTTCGTAAGTCTATCGTGGATGAGCTTGTAAATTCTACTCATGTCCACGCAAGTTATTTATCATAATTGTTATTAACCTTGCTTAATGCAAGATCTTTAAAAGTAAGAAGAAAAAAGAAGGTTAAAGGGTTTTTGCACATCATTTTTACAGGGTTTAAATTATTTTAATTGCTACGACCACAGAAGATGAGCAAAATATAGATTTTAAGTTGTTGTAAAAGAAGAATTTTGGGGCTCAGTCGTACAAGCGGGCTCAAGAAATTCATTCTCTTCTATTAAGAACTGATCTCTGTTTACGTTATCAATGAATTTTGCTAGTTTCTTTAGTTATTTAAATTTTTTAGTATGCTTTGCGAGAATGGCGCATCTGTTAATGCTCTAAATGCAAAAGGCGAAACTCCACTGCACGATGCTGTCCGGAGAAATCACGACGGAGTTGTTCGCAATCTTCTGCTTCACGGAGCTGATCCTAGCATTAAGGACGCTAATGGTGTAGACTGTTTCCAGTTGGCTACGAAAATGGGATCGGCAGTTCTACATACTTTGAGCATGAGCACGTTAGTTGATTCCTGTTGCAAACAACTTTCATATGGTTGCTGATATGGTAAACTTTTTCTACTTACAGTCTTTAGTTTTGATGTAGTTAAATAGGTTGAAGGTATTCAAGACGGTTTTTTTCTGATAGTTCTCTAGAGAAGAACATTTGCCTTGTCTTTTCAAGGGTTACGAATCGCGTCCGTAGGTCAACGTCTGTAGACTCTGATTTGGATCGTGTTTCGGTCATATCCACCGATACTGCAATATTTACCGACCGTACTGCAATATTTTCTACTGGCCGTATTGAATCATGGGTTGACCTGCTTTGGCCTCAACCAAAGTTTGTTAAGATTGACAGCAGGTGCTTTTGTGTTTTTTCTTTTTTTTTTTTTCGGAGCCTGATTGGACAAAGCTTTTTATATTTTTCTATTTTTTTTCAGTAATCGTACAATTCCATTTCCAAAGGACAATCGCCTGAAAGTCTATTTTGATGGTGCAAGTGCAGGTGAACCGCGTTTGCTAATGCAGGCAATTCAAGTGTCTGCACCTCTTTTGGCAACTATAGGACTTGAACTTGAATACAGAGGACACAAAGTTTTTAGAATTTATATTTTCTTTTATTAATATTTTATTTTACATCTACATGTTTTTTTACCAGATTACTTCTGATTTTTAAGTTGTTAAGAGTAAGAACGCTCTTGGAGTAACACATCCTTTTTTTTGCTTTTAGATTTCTGAAAATTCTGCGTTGGATGGAAGAATTACTTGCGGCGTTTTTGACATTGGAGGGCATCGGGACGCGTACACACTTTCTGTAGCGGAAAATGGAGTAGAACTCATTGCAGGGGATTATTCAGGGATACGCTACGGTTTTTGCACTTTTATTCAAATCCTGCGGATCCATCGTAATGTTAATACGGTAAGAAATTCCAGTACTAATTTCGTTTTTTTGGAACTGGGGTTTTATTATGGCTTTCTGTTTAGTCACATATTAATTTATTCTTTTTTAAAGCACGAAAAGTTGGGCATGTACAATACTGTGCATCCAGAAACTCCTTCGCAAGATATCGAATCGGTTGTGGCAGTACCAGGCAATTGTATCTCCCTTATTTATGCTATCTTTCAATATCTTCGAATTTCCTACAAACTTCTTTAAGGTGTTATTCCTTACATCACTATTCGAGACACGCCCGACATGAGTATTCGTGCAGTTTTCCAAGACTTTAGTGGATGCAGAATTTTAAACACGGAAACGGTACATTGATTTTCAAAAAATTAGCTTACTGAAAGTTTCTTCTTTACTGTTTCCAAGGCTAGTTATAGGTATTGGAGTTGGCTCGCCGGATTGGATTTTGCAAAGCAAATGCGCTTTTTGTGAATTTTGAAGTTCGTACTACTGACAGATATCATCTGCCTTTTACAAACCGCGATTTATTTCACATGACCCAAGTTTGTGAAGAACTTTTTGTGAAGGTATTTACTTATTTTTTACAACGTTAAATATCACATAATTGAATTATGAATCGTTGTAAAAGATTAACAAGCTATTTCTACTGAGATTTTTTCACTTATTATAGCTGGTTCCTTCTTTGGACCTGCAATCCAATTACATTGAACCTGATAATCTGCGACTTATTATTGAGCATTTTTTGGACGACTTTCCTCTATCAAAAGTGGCCCATTTTGGTCCTAATATAGCTTCAATTTTGATTATTAACAGAAGGATTCTTGATGGGATTCAAAGGAGAGTGCCAAAAATTTTTTTATCAATTGAAGTTACTGAAAGGAACGTCTCTTTGGTCAGTTTGTCCTATATTTCTTCCATATTTGCTTTCCACAAAGGGTGTTAATGATAGAAATGAGGCTTTTCTTTTTGCAGTTTCTATTCTAGTTACAAATTACTGACTTCTACTGCATCTCTGGTGTTAAGTGCATGCTCTGCCTTCCTTGTATTCATACTTTAGTGACTTTTGATCCAAGAGGATCTACAAATAGAAGTAAATTTAATTTTGATGCTATTTTATCTGGCAACAAATTTGTTATGTGATTTGCAGATTAATCAGCTTCCTGCATATGTGACTTTGTGTGTGGAAGGTAGATACCCGTTTGGTGCTGAAAATTTGCTCTCCGCCAGACTCAATGTTGTTTTAAAATTCACCACCAGTGAGCCTGGGTATTTGTGTTCAGATCCGGAAACCATTGCAAAGAAAGCTGTGCTAACTGCGAAACTTGGAGCCAAGTTTCCTGTTTTAGGTTTTGTTGTGACGCTTTCTTTTACTTTTTACATCTAACATATGAGGTTTTATAACCTAGACGTATCGAACACCGTGATAACTTCAGTAAATTTGTTTTAAGGCGCAATGATTTGCGATCTCTCAACTGGATGTGAAATAATTCCTACCTCATTATCGTTTGTTTCGGAGGTCGCAGAGGTGGGAGTTTCTTGGAATAATGCGACTGATATGAGGAAATTCTGCTTTCTGTTACCAAAACTGACTGCAGAACACATTTTGCTAAACGGGTCACTTTCATTTTATTCTTTATTTCGTTTATGTTTGTTTCTTATTTTAATTTTTTATTTGGGATTTTGTTTTTTTGTTGCATTACGAAGTACAGTTGCTTTAAAGCACCATTTTTTGAAATATGTAGAATTACATTTCTTTTTTAATTTTTCTTGAAGTTTTATTCTTTTTTTAGCGAAGATCTCTAGAAATAATAAATCTTACGGCGCCAGTGTCATTTAAATCGTTCATTTTGGGGAATTCCACATCTATTTATTTTTAGAAATATGGAAAGTCTTTTCAAACAGGCTACTTTACTTGGTCGTATTGAACACGAGATCACAAGATACTGTTACGGTTTGAACAAACCAAGTGTGAACGGTACTACTTTGATTAAAAATTTTAAACATAGCAAATTAGAGGAATGATTTTGTCCTAGTATTCTTCAGGGATTGATGATGTTTTGAAGTCTTCGATGCCAAAGAAGAATCCTATTTCAGTTTTCGTTGAGATGATATTAAATCCAGATAATATGATGTTGGAACGTCTGACTCCTGTTATATTTAAGGTCAGCGAGTGCGGAGAGTAAAGAAAGAGCTTATAAATTTTTTTGTTGTTTACAAGATCTCTATAGAATTTCAATCCTGCAGAAAGCCAGAAATGAGCTACGACGATGCTTGAGGTCATTAGAAGAAACAAGAAAGCAGCTACCTTATAATTATGAATTAGCACTTGTTCTAGCAGAGATTCAAGTTGTAACAGAATTAATGATGCTTTCCAGCAGGTACAGATTGTCATTGAACTTTCAGATTATTCGTTTCTGTAAATATTGTATTTCCGACATGAGAAAGATTTTTCTATTTTCTTATTTTTTTAGGTTGGGACAGTTGTTGTGCACTCATGGGACTAATCCAGCGCTTAATAAGAGAGATGGATATATAGCGTCCTCTACAGGCGCTGAGCGGAGAGATTCTAAAACAGGTCCTTTAATTGGGTACAATGTTGTTAATGTAGGAGTTGCTAATTTACCTTTGGCAATGCGGACTGATCTAGCGAACAGGCAAGTTTATTTCGTTTATGAAATGAAATTTCTTACTTTGGTCATGTAAAAAGTTTCTGTCGTTTGTAGACTTTTAGAGGCCTGAAACATAGGAAAGTTAATCAAAGCCTTGTATAAGAGAAGCCAATGAATCTTCTTCACTTTCAGCTGTATTGTATCTTCGTTTAATATATGTTCTTTAGTTTATTGGATATACGTACTAAATTCCAACATACTTGGTTATCTCGAAATATTGCAAGCACGTTGCCCAACGCGTTGAAAATCTTTGATAACCTGTTTCGCGTGTTGCTTCCGCCAAATATGGAGGACTACAGTCGGAATCTATTATAAGTTTTAAAATTCGCCGCAGAAATTTTTGTCTTTTTCTTTTACATTTCATTCCGTCAGTTTCGGTCTCTGTAAAAGATAATTGATCTGTTACACAAAATTACTAGTTTCTACGCAGTATTCTTTGGATAAGTTTCTTCATGTTTTCTCTATTGTTGTACACTTGCTGCTTTACTCTGCTTCCTAGTCTAATACGATTTAAATGTAAATTTAAATGTGCAATGTACCGTGCCTTTCAATTTTTATCTGTGATAAAGTGTAAAGCATATTAAATAGATTATTTATTTTTGGCTATCAGGGGATTTGTTAAGTTTTTTAGATTTCGAACTTGCTTAGGTGTTTCAATATCTTGAGTTACCAGCCACATTTAGAAAATGGTTTGGTTACATCAGGAAAGCTAATGCTTTTATTGTGTTCCTGTTTTTTTTCTTGATGACTGCATTATTTTAAAATAAATCACGGGATGGTTTAAGCTGCTGCTTTAAGCGTTATTTAGGACCTCTTGTAGGACGTAACACTGTGGATTTCGCATTGTTTTGCTTCTTATGAAAAAAGAGTGCTTGTGTACAAGAATATTCTTGGTTGTTTGGTTAAAACCGTGTTAAGAGCAGCATCCGACTCCTGTTACTCATATTCTTCGTAATTATTATTAGCAAAAAAAGCATTTTAGATTATCCTCAGCTTGTAATTCCTCTTCGTTTTTTTTTATATTTGGTCTGATTAATTCTTTGCTATTACAGATACCTTTTGTGATATTGTTTTGCCTTAATTTTTCTTTTTTTTGCTTTTAATAATATTGACATTCCCAGCAACCGGTTCTTGTTAATACTGTTTTTTCTTGGATTTATTGAGAGGTTTTGGCATTTCGTCAATAAAAATGGTGATCTGGTGCATTTTTTAAAAGCACTTATCAGGTTTGTTTCGTCTTCTATTTACTTGCCAAGTTGTCAATTTTGATGTTTTTTTTAATCGGGTTGTGGAACTTTTGCAGAAGTAACAGCTGTTTGTTATTTCTCAGCTTCTAAGTCTTATTATGGTTATTTTGGGTGAATAGTGCATTTTTGCGCTTTGCAATACGGTTTTTGGATCTGTTTCTTTAGTTGAAGATGTCAACGTTTGCTGTGCTGAAGGAGGAGCTGGATGCTTCAATCAAGGGCGTTAATAGGTACAATCCAAACAATATTGAAATACTAGAAAAATGTATCAACGCTATGGTGCATGAGAATCAGTACGACAAAGATATACTGTTTACGACGCTAAAACTGTACCAGCTGAATCAAGACAAGTGAGGGCTGAACTATCTGTAATTATTTGTCACTGTTGAGCACCATTAACTTTGTTTTTTTAATGTTTTTTGGTGTAGAACGGAGGAAGGAGTTGATTTGTGTAGGAGTAACTGAGCTGTCGGAATGAAAAGAATTTCATTTAATTTCTCATTTAGAATTGCCAGATTAACCTAGTTTACCGAATAGTTTTAGCTGCTTTGGACAACTCTTCAGTTTCAGTTTTAAGAAATTATTGGAATTGTTGTTCATTTATTTGTTTTTAGTCTTTCTTTATTTCTTTTCAATAATTTTAGTTTTCTTGTCAGGATGTTAGAGTAGTGCGTCTTGTTACAAATAAGTTTAACCTAGCTTAATTATTTCACTTTAATCCTTTTTGAAAGTGTTTTGAGCAATGGTTCATTGTTTTCGGTGCCATACTTCTTGTTTGTAATTTATAGAGTTTTGCATCTTTATGTTCCTTTTAGGAATATTTTAGGTTCAATGAAGCGGTAGTCAAACAAATTTTATTAAAAACTATGATGATGGCACCACGAAGTGACTTTGCATTGGCTAAATATCTTATCGATGCGAGTCACGTCAATCTATCTGTGAGTTTTGTAAACGATGATTGGATTCGTACAGTTTTACGCCACTATGATAACATTAATTTTTTAGGAGTTGAAACGGGTTTTCGATATTGGAGCACTTTTAGAGTCTTGTAATTTTGCCGTCTTTTGGAAACTTATGCGTGGCGAATATGATCCTTCTGACAGTCTTGATGAACCGTTTCGCAATCCTTCTGAAATTCCTAAGATAGTTAAAGCAATTCCCGGATTTGAAGAGAGCGTACGAGACTGTATGTCATTTTCTCATGTACTTTTGCATATTTTTAATCTACCTCTCTTTGTTTCATCTTGCTTGTCTAAATTTTTTCTTGATAAAACTGGAGTCTCAGTTTGTGATTCTCTTATTTGTTCAAAATAAACCGAGTTTCAGATGCCTGTCAGGTCATACACGTTACTTTTCAAAATATTGAAAGATCTTTGTTGACTAGGCTACTTGGTGGTATCTCAGGTAAAAATATTTTGCTCAACAACGTAAAAACAGTTTTAACTAATTGGTCGTTGAAATTTTTTTCGACTCTTCTAAGGTGTAGCCTTGCTTCTAGACAAGCAGGTAAACGAATACGTACGGCGTTATGGTTGGACTCCCAAAGAAAACGGTGAAGTATTTTTTGTGCAAAATCACGAGGCAACGATCAAAAGCAGGAACATCGAGGAGCGGCTTCATTTTGAAAGTTGGAGAAATTTGTTAATTTTCATAGGATACTTATTTTACAGTAACGTGGTTTTGACTTTGCTTTTTTATTGAACATACTAATTAAAAAAGGGCAATAAAAAGTGAGTTTCAGATTGCAAAGAATTTCTGCGAAGTTTATGAATATCATTTCTGCATTCTGAGGGACCGGACTTTATTATGGGATTGGATTGTTCTATATGCTCTCTGAGTTACCGTTTTGCCATCTGTTCCATTGTTACTATGATCTGCAGTTGCGTGCTGATCGTTTTTGTAATTAAAATAAGATAACCCTTTTAATTAAAAGTTGCTTTTACTTTGTTAATTTTTAAAGGATTTTTTTGGGGTGGCTTTAGGGTTATTTAAAAAATTTTTGTGAATATTTGGTAGAGGTCGTTACTCAGCGAGGGTGCAAAATTAATGTTGCGTTTGTGGTCTCATTTCTTTCATTCTGTATCAAATCTTAGATATGATAACTCTTTCTACTTTTACTGCTTTTTTTGGTTGAAAACTGGAAATCGCCTTTCAAAATTTTTCAAAATTTAGAAGTTGGTTGTTATTCTTTTTGACATTTTGCGGGAACTGTATGTTTATTGTTATTGTTTTCTTATTTGAATTTCGTGCGGTAGCAGTGCCAATAAAGAAATTCAGGTAATCGACATGACGCTTAAGAGAGAAGTAATCAACCGAAGTGTTCTCCATGGTAGTGAGGGAAGTAGTTTTGTAATAGGACGCACTTTTGTTTTTGACATCTTTGAGAAACTTCTTATCACTGTTTTTCTGAAGTTTGCTTTTGAGCGCAGAACTGCTCCTTACTTCAAAATTTCTATTCAGAAGAATCTTTATTAACACTAAGTTTTAAATTAACTGGTTGTGTTAGTTTGCTGAGGTTGTCTTAGCAGTCAGAATTTGCCGTCGACCGGAGCTAATTCAGAAAATCTGGAAGTTTAATGTAAGTGGATTTTGCAGGTAGGAGATGAGCACACGTGACGTTTAAAAGAAACAAAATCTAGAGTTTAGCGCTAATTACTGTTGCAGAGTAGAATTAGCGTTAATGGTGACGCGGACTGTGCTTCGGTCGGATTACAGTTTGCCGAGATGTTTTAGAGCGGATTTCTTTTTTTACATTTTGAAGGGGGATTTGAAAAGTTTTTTAAATTTGATAAAAACTTTTGGCGTTTTTCGATATGGTTTGGTTTTCAAAAGTTGGTGATCGCTAAATTGCACAAAGCGGAATTTCCTTTTTGCGTTGCACGAGCTGAAGATGTGTTGAATTAAAAAAAAAAATTTATTAGAATATTTCAAAAGGGATGAAGAACAGCTGAGAAGCTGTGGGACAGAGTCACGGACTTTGGAAAAAAAATGGATAAAGCTCCTTTACAGACTTAAGAAACGGATGTTTTATTCAGAAGAGTTGTAGTAGTTAAAAAAGACAATGTGACTGAATTAAAAAACCTAAGCTGAAGCACTGTGGTCAAATTTTAAAGTGCTCTGATAGGTACTAGTTTCAGCAAGCTTTATTATTGACTTCTCAATTTACGGATGTTAACGATTTCTGAAAAACTTTTTATTACTTTGTCAACATTAAAACTGTCGTAGATGTCTGCAGAAATTTAACTTTCAGTCGATAGTGCCAAATCAAAAATTTCGGGATTTATTTTTTGGAAATAATTCCAAACAGCTTTTTAGAAATCATGTGTTTTGCTTTGATTTAAGCAGTAATGATTACTTTTGCCTATAAGGTCCATAAAGTTTTAATAACACTTTTCACTGATCTTGTTTACTACGGTTTATTCGATGGACAATTGGTGTCTGAAAAAAAAAGCATGTGCCACGTTAAGCATGTGCTACCGTTCCTCCTACTTGTTCAATATTATCCTGCAAAGCTGTTTGAGCACTGTTACGATAACTTCTGAAACTGCGCTAACTTGTCAATTCCTATCAAGAAAAATTGGTACGCAAACAGTACAATCGGATGATTTTTGAATAAAATCTTTGGGTAGTTGATTCGAACAGATGAGCATTTGGTCGAAGATGGAAGTATGAAAAATTTTCCCATCAATCTAAATCGCAATTATAAGCTAAATTTTCAGTACTAATAGTAATGGCTATTTGGGATTAATAGCTTGTTTTTTTTTTTGATCAGTAGGTTTTTTTTTGTTGATTTTTTTTTACTTCAGTGATGTGGAAGTTTTTAAAGATAAAAACTGACTGCTCTTTGTCGCTTGGCAATTTAGTGTTACACTTTGATCATGTTTGATTATTATTATTTCGTTTATAACCTACATCGTTCTATAACTCTTTTTTCAGGGGGCTTCTGCAATTCGGTGTAGGAGGAGTAGGAAAAGAAATTGAAAGAAAATGTAAAAATCATAATACTTTTTCAATGAAAAAAAAATTATAAGAATAATCAAATTGCCTTTTTCTTGAGATATGTGTGGAAACAAGTCGGGACACTTTTTTTTTCGCGTTTTTTAATAAGATTGTTTTGTTAGTAACAGTTATATGTTAGGCATAAAAATTTGTTTCTTCTGTTTGATCATCGTCATTCTATGGTACCCGAAGAAAGTGTAGTGCTGAAGGAAAAAAAATTTTCTTCTTTTTTGCTTGTTGATCTTTAAAAATAGATAAACTGGCTTAAATGTGGTATATTCCAAATGATTTGTAGTGATCTTGAGGAGTTTTTAAATAAAATTTATTTTTTGATCTATCTCTTACTAAACTTCTTCTTCTTCTTCTTCTTCTGCTTTTTGCACTGTTGCATTAGTAGTAGCAACTGAATTAGTTGAATATTGCCGTTGTTGTTGCTGCTATCCAATAATCTTTTGGTGGTTCTGTAACCCGAAGGTATTAATCAGTATCAGTGTTTCAGCTATTTTTGCACTTTTGATTGATGTTATTTTTTGGTGCTTCTTTTTTCTATTTTTTATTTGAAAAATTTTTTATGACAACTATATTTAGTGTTCAATTAAGTCAAGAAAAGCAAAAAATTATTCTTTATACTGTCTTCAATCCGCGTAAAAATTTAGTGTTATAATTTATCTTAAGTCCTCGTCTTTTTTCTTCATTGTTTTTGTTGAATTTTAAATTGTTTTAAATCATT